GAAAGGACCCACGTGTGCTTACTGTGATCTCTGCACATACAGCCTCTACAAAGAGAACACGTGTGCTTACCGTGATCTCTGCACATACAGCCTCTACAAAGAGAACACGTGTGCTTACCGTGATCTCTGCACATACAGCTTATACAAAGAGAACATGTGTTTAGCATGATTTCTGAACAGAGAGCCTCTATAAAGAGAACATGCATGTTTAGTGTGATCTCTGAACAGACAGCCGTTACAAAGAAAACACGTGTGTTTACTATGATCTCTGAAAATACATCCTCTACAAAGAGAACATGTGTGCTTGCCATGATATCTGCACACACAGTCTCTAGAAAGAGAACACGTGTTTAGCATGATTTCTGAACAGACAGCCTCTACAAGGAGAACATGCATGTTTAGTGTGATCTCTTGGCAGACACGCATAGCTATGAAATCAGGTGCACCACTGTCTCCAACATCAATAACAGCCTTAGGAGTGTTGATGAGTGGTGAACGTGAGCCTGGCGTCCCTGGCATGGACATTGAGCCCCGCACAGCATGACAGAGATGTAAATGTTCTCTAAACTCCACTAAATGTAATTGATTCCAGCCACTGTGCTCTGAATATCCCGGCGCTCGGACAGCAAAGCACAAACAGTCTGTCTCCGACAGCCCAAAGTAACCCGGACGTGCGAACGGGCCAAAACACAGAGACACCTCGCCTCACACGAGCGTCTTTCCTGTCACCCCGTGTCCCAGAAGCGTCCTTGCAGAACCGCTCTGGATGAAGGCGAACGGGCAGGCGAACGGGCAGGCGAACGGGCTCTACTTACTGAACGGGTCGTCCTTGCTCTTGGTGCCGTTAACTTTGCCGTTTTTATCAATCCTAAGAAAGAACTTCTGGAAGGAGAAGAGTTTGCGGCGTCGGACATCTCCCTGTAAGTGGTTGTAGCTGCGCACGTGTCTGCCCACCACCACCGAGGAGTTGGTGCCGCGGGGCAGGCGGCCGGGGCGCAGGGCGCTGTGACAGGCCACCGGCAGCGAGCAGAGGAGCAGCACCAGCAGCAGCGAGAGGCAGGAGAGGTGGGAGCACAGAGCCACTCTGCCCTGGCTCACTTTCCATTTCCACATGGTGCTGGAGCTCTGAGGACCGGCAAGCACCTCACGGCAAGGAACATGCTGGGGAGGCAGGAAGAAAAGGGGCTGGGGTCGGGGGGCAAAGCCCCGTGCTGCCGCTGGGTCTCCCGGAGTCGCTTCCCGTCGCGTCCGAAAGGAATGCGTCAACATCCATAACTCGGAGCACCTCCGGCGTGTGTCAGGCGATCCGGCCCGTCCCGCTCCAGTGGGACAGGCTGTGGCGTGGGGGGGGGGGGTGTTCGCCGCTGCCTCCACGCACGGCTGGATGATGAACGGGACGGAGAGAAAGAGAGAGAGAGAGAGGGGCAGACGAGGAACAAAAAGTTTTCAAAGCAAAAAACTCTCCATTCTTCTCAGAGAGTGGGAGAATCCAGAAAGAGGGAAGAGGAGCGTTTAATCCCCACTAAAGTCCTTCCGTCCTCCGCGGGTCCTGGGTGCCTGTCTGCTCTACGTCTCCTGGTCTCTGCCGCTGCCGCTCCGGGCCGAGTGAGCGCGTGTGCTTTGCCCTCCCGAGTGACTGAGCTGTGTCACTCTTCTCACCTTATGTATTCCGCACGGGAACCCAGATGTAATCTCTTTAGCTAATTGGCAGTCTATGAAAAGCAGTCGGCTTTGAAGATCTGCGTGTGTGTGAGAGAGAGGGAGAGAGAGAGAGAGAGAGAGGGAGAGAGAGAGGGAGAGAGGGAGAGAGAGAGATTTTTTTCCCTCCTCTCCTATCTGTCTCTCTCCCTATCTCACACCCCTACCCCCACCTCACTACCTCCCACTCCCTCCCTCCCTCCCTACCTCTTCTCCAGATTCTCATTCCCCCAGAGAGAAATGGAGCAGGTCAAAAGGGAGTCTGAAACGTCAGCGAGAGGGAGCTCCGTCTGCTCCTAGCTCCCCTTGCCTCCACTCCTCCTCTCCTCTCCTCTCCTCTCCTCTCAGCCAGCAGGTCCATCCCGAACTGACCCCCCTCCCCATTCCCCTACATTTATTCTCTTTCTCACCCAGCTCCTTCACTCCTCTGTCTGCTTGGCCACTTCTCTGAAGCTTCGGCGCTCCAGCCGGGCCGGTCTATGTCCGTGACATGGACAGATACGGACCGACACAAGCAAACACACGTGTCCCCGTGCACCGAAATCAGAGACACCACAGCAACGACCCAAGACTGTCTCATACATTCCATGACAACCCCCCCCCCC